CTCAGAAAAAAAGTGGCATTTCTCTCAGAAAAAAAGAATGAAAAACCGGCCAGGGAAGGTTCTAGAACCAATCTTTCCAAAACCGGAAGAGGGAGTATGTTGGAAATCTCTTGCTGGGCCAGCCCAATACTTGGGAGCGTTTGCCTGATGTCCACCGCGTTAGGCGGTAAATAAGGATTTACCCGCGAGAAATCTCTTGTTGGGCCGGCCCAATACTTGTAGGCGTCGTAGCAGCCGGGGGAGAGAGAGGAGAGGGCAGGACGCAGGAGCAGTCGGACACGGACTCTCCGGACCAACCCCACCGATTCCGGTCTGGACTCTGGAGTCGACGACGAAGTTTGGACGCTAGGTCGGCCCCATAAAATCAAGGACCCGGCCGGCCTAGCTACTGCACGATCAACAGCTAGCCATAGTCGAATCGAAGGGAAACCTAAAAGTTGAGTAGCATCTTCAGATCGATCGCCGGAAGGAGAGAAGCGATGGACGTCGTCGAGGCCGAGTTGCCGGCGCCGGCGGTGGCGGTGGGGACGAAGAGAAGCTACGAGCGGGAGGAGGGGCAGTGCGACGTGATGATAGAGAAGCGGTACAAGTGCAACTACTGGGAGGACCCCGACTACGAGTGGGAACTGCAGCAATGGAGCTCACGCCTCGCCCAGCTGGCCGCGCTCGACAACGAATGCGAGCGCTGGGCCGCTTCAAGGAGGGCACGCGCGCATGCCACGCCGCCCTATAATTAACAAGACTGATTTTCAACGATCATATTGTAGTAGTGTTTGTTCATTGTCTCATCTACTACATCTGTCATTCGCAAAAAGAAACAATATTCTGTATCTGTCATTCAGTCATTGTATCACACGAATTGATTACTATCTCTCTCTTTTTGTCTTTTTTTTTGCGTTTGGTTGAAATTTCTAGTTTTAATTTTAGGCATTCAAACCACGAATTAAAGCTTAATCAAGAAAACAAATGACATTTGAAATAATAAGTATTTCTAGTTATAATTAGCTACTAAACAATGTCGTCATGCAACGTTTAGGCTATACGCAATGTAGCCATTTGACATTTCTAGAGAGGGCATCCCGACATCGTTTACTCGTTGTCGGAGGAGGATAGGAGCACCTTGTCGAGGTCATCGTTGGAGTCGGGGTCGAGAGGTGTTAGGACATACATAGCTATGCGTGCACACATTCTACAGATGTTGGATGACAAAGGGATCCATGAACGAGAACATGACATGCATGGAAGCAATCCTATGATTTAACCATTTGGATACAAATTGAATACATAGAAATAGTAGAAGTTGGTTGTCGCACCTAGTTTATAATACAAATGAGTCGTTTACATCATATATGCATACCAAATTTTCTTTTAGAGAATATATACACACTAATTTCACTTCATTATCCCCGCAATTTTTTTTCACTTCATTACATGTCGATAACCGGATTTTCACACCACAAACCACCGAATATTGAATAAACTACAAACAAAATATAGAAAATACTCTCTCCGTCCTGTAATATTAGATGTTATTCCAACCAATGTATGCGACTTTAGGAAGTAATGAGTAAACTCAAACAATTCTAGAAGTTAATTTAGGATATATATATATATATATATATATATATATATATATATATATATATATATATATATATATTTGCACGCCCACCTCTTTTTCCGATGCATCCACCTCATTTAATTTGGACAAAACATGATTTTACCATATGGTGTATGTGATAAGCAACCTCAAACAATGTCAATAACATCATTCTAAACAATTCCGGTCCAACTTGTCGCCATCTTGTGAGATGGCTTTTGTCGGATTCACGCAAGCCAGTGCATACTCAACTAAACATTGACGAATCTTTTCCAGAAATCATAATTTTGTTTATTTCTACTTTTTAACGGGTGAAATGGAAAATATGGAGACACTGTAGAAAAGAAAAACTACAAAGATTCAGGGTTCGTCATCTAATTGTCGTTTTGGTGCTAAAATTCATGCGTTTATGACAAAGGGGTATGGCTACAGATCCGTAAAATTCCTTTGATTCAAATGCTTGCATTAGGAAAAGAAAAAATAAATAAATGTTGGGCCATGATTAACCTATGTATACAACTTTTTTGTGTTTTTTACCAACTACTTTCTCTGTAAATGAATATAAGACTTTTTAGATCACTAAAGTAGGCCGCACTTGAATTATCCGGAACAGATGATAATGATGTTCATGACCTGGATGGGAACTTTTGCTTCGTGGGTGTATATACATCCTAGATGGAAAAATAGTAATTAACTAAAATGTTTAAAAAGTTTGAAAATATTCTTGAAATAAAGTTGACCTTTCATTGTACTTGTATAAGAAAAAATCAACAAAAAGAAAAAAAAAAGGCTTCTTTTCAAGAAAAGGCCAAAATAATGTTAATAGTGACCTATAATTGCAACAAAAAAAACTGAAGTCGGAGCTGGTTTTTGTTCACGGAAATTTATACTAGTGCAAAAGAAAGTGAAGTTTATTCCAAAAAATACTTCTTATTTTTTACTTTTTTGTAATTATTGTTTTCTCATATAGGGTGTATATACACCTAGGAAGCAAATGGTATTTCCCTTCGTGGCCTCTATAAATAGTAATATGATTTTATCCTTAAAAATCACTGTACACTCTTGGATGATTAGGTGGGCAGTGGTATCCCAGTCGACCAGGGTTCAAGTCATGTTGTTTGCATTTATTTGCTGGATTTATTTTAAAAAATTTGGCGATGCGCGTTCAATGGATGAGACGTCCCGTCGACTACGAGGCGCAGGGGCGAAGCCGGATATAAGGTCACCGGGGTCAACACAAACAAATAACACTAGTGTTTCCCCTAAAAAAAGGCAATACTATATGGGTAAAAAATGTGTAGTTCGCATTAAGTAACATGTCCAGAATGCTTTTTTTAGTAACCTCACATAAATATAGAATCATAGTTGTAAGCTTCGATTACAAAAGCAGTTACCTCTCTATGTTTTTAAAAGAAATTCAGAAAACGACGATGACCAAGACCGATGGTGACGGTGGCTGCGGATGCGGACGATGAAGTGTCAGATGAGAGGGCGGTGCAGGGGCGAAGCCGGATATAAGGTCGTCGGGGTCAACACAAACAAATAACATTAGTGTTTCCCCTAAAAAAAGGCAACACTATATATGGATAAAAAATGTGTAGTTTGCATTAAGTAACACGTCCACAATGTTTTTTTAGTAACCTCACATAAATAAAAATTCATAGTTGTAAGCTTCGATTACAAAAGTAGTTACCTCTCTATGTTTCTAAAAGAAAACTACTATATCTAAATAGCTAGCCCCCACTAATAGGAATTCTCTACCTTCTCCTTGAGCCACATCATCAAAATTAATGTAGCCGTTAGATAAACTAAATCAGCCCATATTAACCATGTGATCTAGACGTTGAGAGGTTCCGCATTAAGCCGCATGCAAGCATGGAGAAACTTAGGGTCGCATGCATGTGAGTGGGTTTTAAATCCCATCAACATGTCCCCGCATGCAAGCATGCACCGGTAGTATGCATGTGAGTGATCTTTAAATCCCATCAACATGTCAAAAAGAAAATATAATCCCATTATGCAGTAGGAGTTGGCTGATCTCCTTTTGTTACGTGGGATGATCTATATTTTCCACACTTGCTTAATGATGGGAGTTTTTTTAGTTTGACTACCACATTGTCATGCAGTTATAGAGTTTCTTTTAGTTCTATGAAAATGATGATTTTACACGTAGAGATATATAGTTGTTCCGCGGCAATGCGCGGGACTCATCTAGTTCAGAAAATGACGATGGCGAAGACTGGTGGTGGCGGTGACTGCGGATGCGGCCGGTGAAGTGTCAGATGAGAGGGCGGCGCCCACATGATTTGAAGTTCAAAGGGCTGGCCGCGCCGCTATTTATAAACCAGAATAAGCCGGATGACCACTCGGCATACAGGGAGGCCAAACGTTTTCTGGTTATGAAAAAGAAAATCGAGAACAGCCGAGTGTCCGATGGAGCATACTCGGTTTACATCAACGGTCGTCAGGCTAGCCTTTATGTGCGCCGACGGCGGGCCACGTGACAACAGACTTTGCCGTCGTTGTACTGTATTTTCACTAGTCTGACGGCTTACTCTCTCGTAAGCTGAGTGTCGCTTGTAAGCCAAATAATTGTTGTTCATCCTCACGGCTTACTCTGACGTAAGACGTGTTTCTTCTGTTTGCCGTGTACATTTTGATGCACGCTCGATGTATCCTCTCGCAAGCCGTCAGACCATGTTTTAACCCTCGGCTTACTGCATGATACTCCCTCCATCCGCTAATATTTGTCGCAAAAATGAATGAAAATAGATGTATGTAGAACTAAAATACGTCTAGATACATCCATTTCTCCGACAAGTATTTTCGAACAGAGGGAACACTAGGCAACGTGTTTTTTTCATGTAGTACTATTACAATAATCAATCAAATAGTTTAGGGACCATGCACTTCGCCCTTAGAAAAAAAACCACGTCCACGGAGCAGGCAGCTTCATGGGAAAGCTTGGTTAATACGCTGTGCTCTTTCCAGGAACAACAACAAGATCATTTCCTATTCATCTGCAGTTCAAGCTGATTCGTTCAAACAAAAGTCCGAAGTAATTAACAACCGGATCGACCGGCAGTTTGACGTCTTCTTTTCTTTAAGGAAGCAAACTCCATCAGGAAACCAAATCGGCCTTTGGAACGCATCTAAACTAAGCTTTTTCTTCAAGTTCAGTGGCACGTCGTTAGCTTAGCTTGAGAATATTCTCGCTAGCGCGTGCTCCTCGAAATTTCTACGTACTCGTTGCCAGGAAAGAGGGGGAGAGCCGGACTAGCCATGTCATGACATGACGCTCAACCGTCCGGCCGGTACCTCCGTCATGTGCCCAGCAAAGTTATAAGAGAGAGAGAGAGAGAGGGGTCAGGAAGAGAGAGAGAGAGAGAGAGAGAGAGAGATGGAAGCGACGGCGGTGAGCTTGGCGAGGTCCGTGCTGGACGGCGTGCTGAGCAGCGCGGGCTCTGCGGTCGCCGACGAGGTCGCGCGGCTCCTGGGCGTGCCCAAGGAGGTGGAGTTCATCCGCAACGAGCTGGAGATGATGCAATCCTTTCTTAGGGTGGCCTCGGCGCGCCCCGACGCCGCCGCGCGCAACGACACCGTGCGGACCTGGGTGAAGCAGGTGCGCGACCTCGCCTACGACGTCGAGGACTGCCTCCTCGACTTCGCCCTCTACTCGGCCACCGTCTCCTCGTCGACGTGGTCCTGGCTCCCGGCCCCCCTGGCCGAACGCCGCCGCATCGCCGCGCGGATCCGGGACCTCAAGGCCAGCGTCGAGGAGCTGAACCAGCGCAACCTGCGGTACCACGTCATCGTCGACCACTGCCCCCCGATGCGTGGCGTCGAGGTGGATGTTGGTCAGCAGCAGCTGCTCCCGGACCAGGACGTGCTCTCCGCCGCAGAGGTGGCGTTCCAGGAGTGGGACATCATCGGGCGAAGCAGCGAGAAGGCCGAGCTCAAGGACAAGATCTTGGGCGGCGACGGCCCTAAGTTAGGCGTCGTGTCGGTGTGGGGGATGGGCGGCATGGGCAAGTCGTCGCTGGTGAGCATCGTGCGCAACGACCCGGTGCTCCTCGACGCGTTCGACTGCGGCGCGTGGGTGACCGTGCCGCACCCGCTCGACAACGCCGACGATTTCAGGCGGTGCCTTAGAAAACAGCTCCAGCTCGGAGCGGCAGCGCACGACGAGCCGGCGGACGCCATCCGGGTCCGGGAGCACCTCAAGGACAAGCGGTACGTGATTGTAGTCGATGATCTGCTCTCGCAGGAGGAATGGACGCATGTATGGCAAGTCCTCAACTTCCACAACGGCAAGGGAAGCCGTGTAATCGTCACTACGCGCCGCCAGGACGTCGCCCGGCACTGCGCCGGAAACGTTGGTGAGGGGTATGGCCTTGTCTACGAGCTCAAGCCACTTGGGGATAATGAGTCCATGAGTCTCCTGTGCAAGAAGGTGAAGTCCTCCAACTTTTATTTAATCTAATATTAAATTATTACGTCAATTTTGTGTTTTACTTTAGTGGTGTACTTGTTTAAATTGCTTTACGTAGTGGAAAGGTGCATATATTATGTGTACTAGTATGATGATACTACGTGCATTGGTTGACGATCCTTTTAAAATCAAAACATAAATAAGTGCAACACGTGTTGCACAAAGCAACATGGTCCAAACGCTTTCATTATCATCTATTTTGCCACATCAAACAGATGACATCGTGATTTTTTAGGGGGTTTTGGAATTTAAAATGTTTTATCTATTAAATAAAAAGAGACATGATTTTCAGCACCCGGGTGCCCCTACACCCTCTATGAACAGTAAATTCAAAACAAATTCAAAAAAATCAAAAAAAATCTGAAACTTTGGGACATCGAACATCATGAAACTTTTGACGATCTTGCAATGTTTTAGCTAAAAATAACATTCGAAGAGCACTCAAATAAAAAAACAAAATCATTGTTCAAAGTTTATGTACATTTTTGAGCGGTGATTTTTTTTTTGGTGAGGGCTCCACGAAGGTTATTTGTTGCTGAAACTTTGCAGGAACATCAAACCTTTGATAATCTTTGATCCCTGAAAGTTTCAGATTTTTTTGATAGTTTTTCAATTTTTTATGAATTTACTGTTCATAAGGGTGTAGGGGCACCCGGGAGCTGTTAGACATTTCTCAAATAAAAAATCCGATTAAAATTCTGTTTTTGTCATTAAATCCGCCTTGAAAAGATCTTCAAAACTAGATCCAATATTGATATGTTTCAACTTTTTTTTGGCGAAAAGTTGCCATGATGTTGCACTGAAGTTGCCATACTGTTTACAATAAAGTTGCCATGATATGCTTCATCAATTTTTTTCTTCGAGATTTAAAGCTACCATTGTATTTCAACTACTTTAATGGTAAATTTTATTAATTGATGACGGCAATTTTTAGTAATTAACCACGGCAAATTTAATTCATGAATCATGGCTACTTTTAGTAATTCATCATGACAAATTTAGTTTATAGAGGCAATTTTAGTATTTTGACCATGTCAATTCTAGTATTTTGAGCATGGAAATTAATTTTTGTATGAACCATGGCAAATTTTAGTGCATATATCATGTCAATTTTAGTTTCTGGTTCATGGCAAATTTGAGTCATTGACTATGCATTTTAAAAGTAATTGACGACGGATTTCTTTTTAACTATGAACCATGTGAAAATTATTTCATGCACCATGGCAAATTTTAGTAATTCTCCATGGCAAGTTTAGTTTCTTAATTCACTTTCTATAACATGTCAAAATTTACTTTAAACGTAGAAGAAAAAATAGTTAAAACATATCATGACGACTTTAGTCTAAACACCATGGCAATTTATGTGCAACAGAAATGACAACTTTTTACTGCCAAAAATATCGTCGAAACATATCGATATGAGATCAAGTTTCGAAGTCCACCTCGTGGCTGATTTAATGGTGAAAGCGAATTTTCAATCGAATTTTTGATTCAATAGATAAAAAAATTAAAGTTTGAAATACATAAAATATTCCAGCTGACATCATCTGTTTTTGTCTTTGTTTGCATGCATATGTGAAAGAAATAAAAAAACTGACATGTCACAATGAGTGGCTAGAAGGGAGTTTGGCCCGACCTCCTTCAGACCACACGTGTGGGCGGAATACCTTCGTGCGACACTTATCAGGGTCCTAAAACTATTGCAAAAGCAAATGTAAGGTTGTTCTTCGTTTATATTTGGAAACAAGAAAACAACAAAGCATCTAACAAAACGATTTATAAAAAAACTTTTTGATTGAATTTAACAAGGTGCCATTTTTAACAGAATGTGAAGCATGAACCCACACAGATTTGCTATGATCGTCCAAGAAATATACCGTCCATGACCACACAAAAAATATTGCAAAACATTGACTTATGATTGACAAGCATGATTTGTTGAGGTGGCATGGTTACATGGATAGACTATTGCGATAATATAACTTATGACTACATGCATTTCATACTCATGTGGGCATAGTGACATAGAGTGGAAACAAAGCTAGTGGGTTACAACATTTAGGAATAGATAACAAATATGAGACTGAAAAGTTGGGTGCTAGAAAGCAATTAATTGTGGCGCTATAGTGCTACCAACTTGTGGTAGAACTACCGACTATAAAGGTGTTATGAAAGTTTCTAAACTCGTTTCTTGGATTATTTACAAGCAGTATTCAAGCTCTTATTTTTCAATATTAGCCGCAGCCTATATATGTGATTCCATGGAGGGTCATTAATGTGGTGTGAGCTGGGTTCAAAACGTCATGAGACAGTTCAGTCCATATCCATCTTTGATAATATTGACATAAGATGTATATGTATGATGTTAAACTAATTATATTCATTATTTATTTACCAATTGAGCACGGTTTTCCTAAAGAGGAAGGGAAAAATATATTATTCATTGAATACCTTTTCCTCTTATTAATGTGTGTTATTGTTATGAGCTAAATTTTTTTGTATGTTAGATTATGTTATAGTCTATCTACCCAATAAAGTTTTAGTATTTTACTAACTTTTGAGTAATCCCATCATGCATTATTAGCATGGTAGTACCAAATTATATCCCTGTAGCTAGTAAGGTTCAAGTGGCCTCTGCATAAGCCTGCTAAATCCATTAGTCAAAATCAATTTAGCTAACTCCATCAAACTCAAGTTGCAACCAGAGAACCAACATGTGACTGGGTGGTTAGTACCGTGGTTAGACCCCAGCCTAACGGTGATCAAACCTTATATTCTTTTAGTAGGAGGTCATATTACCCTTGATGGTGAGTCACATATGGTCATTTTGTCAAATTTGAAGCTTTGCGGCTTTGGACTTTAGTAGGCGCTATGTGGTCTTGGGTGTATGGTGGTGGTGCGCATGTCTGTGTGCAATACGATGTACGTTATGTTTCTCCAATAAACTAGGTTACTTTGTAGTACTAGAGTTGTTCTCGCATAAGAACAAATAAGTGATGTAAACAAAAAATGTTTGCGAGGATTAATATTGATAAAAGTGTTCACGAATTTGCTAACTTACAATTACTTAGTTAGTAGTCAAACCCAATTTATTTCCATTTTTACCGATTAGACCGTGTCTTTCTATTTCGCAAGCATACATCTATTACACAACTCATGAAGTTAGTCATTTGAGTATATCTTTCCTCTTTGGGTAGTGAATACAAGGAAGTTGGGCTAGAATAGAAAGAAGATTTAATAGCAAAATAAAAGTACTCCAAAACTTGACCGTTTTGAAACGAATACTATGGTATTTAAATTGATTCAATTACAGTACTTTACCAAAATGAAATTTTGAAATATTTTTTTCCTCCAAGATATTCGGGAAACAATAAACTAGAGTTTGAGAGCTACATAATTATTAGGTCCAACAAGGTACCGCTGCCATTTAGGGACATAAATTCTTAAGTTAATCCATAATATACAACTTGTCACATTGGCCTATGGGCAAAAACGGAGATCTATGTGGTTTATTTTAGTGAGGCAAAGATATATAAATTTAGGTTAATGAGAAGGTACACCACCTATAGATGTGATCTGGTTAAAATGGTGTAGGTTGGTTCTAAAAAAGGATCTATTCACACTACATATAACAATGTGTCTAAATACTAAGTATCAACATAATATCATAGTATCGGTAAAATATCATACAATAAAGTACATATTTACCACGTGAATTTAAAGGACGCTTCAAAATCCTAAGTGTTCACATTCCCAGCTCTTGTTGGATAGTTAAATTGCTAGGGCATGAATCCACCAATAAGGGTTCATATCCTATTAGATTGGAGGTATGGATGAACATCATCTAACCTGATGTGGATGGACATAATGTAGGGAGAGAGAGGGGGGGAGAGAGAGAGTAGAGGCCCTAGGGAGGCCAAATACACTATATAGGACAAACAACTCACCAATCTCTACCCTTCCACACCAGCAAATGAGATGTTAAAAACGAAACCGCCATATCCTCCATCAAGTGCCAACGTTATATGATCTTTGCAGCTTTGTTTTGTCGAATGCTTGTATAATTTGAATGCATGTGGATGTCACTCTTGCTCCCCTATTGCTGAACATAGCCAATGGTATATGTGATTAACAAAACTGAAATTGGAGTCTAACTTGTTAGGCAGTCCAGAAGAAATTACATGATGTTAAGCTGATTAGTCTACATGATGAATTGGTAGATGCCTCTTAACTACTACAATATAATTTCTACATAAGTGTTCACACCTTGCGACATGATAAAGAAGTGTTTGAAACTTCAAACTTCCCCATTAAACTACTAGGACATGTGCATGTCAATTGAAAAGAAATTGGATACCTAGGTCCTAAGTTATCCCACAGTCATTTCTGGTAGAATAAAAAAATCCATTATATAGCACACAACTGCCTACTGTAGCTTTTAATATATTTATTTTAATTTTTAGAATACTAACAATATGTTATGTTTCCATCATTTGTAGGTCTACAATACAAGTAATTTTAATTTGCCTGTTGAAATGGAGGAGCAAGCTAGCCGTATTTTAAAGAGATGTCGAGGTCTTCCACTCGCCATTTCCACGATAGGTGGTCTCCTAGCCAATAGGCCGAAGACAAGTATTGAATGGATGAAGATGCATGAACACCTTGGAGCAGAGTTGGAGTCTGATCTTCGCAACATCACAAAGGTGATTGTCTCAAGTTATGATGGATTGCCATACCATTTGAAATCAATCTTCATATACCTCAGTATCTTCCTTGAAAACCAAGAGATCAGATGCACCCACCTATTGAGGCGGTGGATGGCAGAGGGCTACATAGCAAAGAACCGTGATATGCCCGTGGAGGAGGTAGGGGAACGTTTCTACAATGAGCTTATCAATAGAAGCATGATCCAACCCTCAAAGAAGAAGATTATCCCTGGTGTGAGAGTTGCTCGCTGCATGATTCATAGTATGGTGCGGCAGATCATCCTATCCAAGGCAGTTGAGGAAAACCAACTCTTCCTCATTGAGAAGCAGTGCAATGAGGTACCACAGAGTAAGATACGCCACTTGGTAGTATCTAAGTGGAAAGGCAGGGAGGAGAAGCTAGAAAACATAAATCTGTCATATATTCGATCATTGACGATTTTTGGAGAGTGCCCTGTTTCCCTCATCTCTCCTAAAATGCGGCTTCTGCGAGTGCTGGATCTAGAAGACACAATCAATATGAGGAATGAAGACCTTAGGCACATTGGGGAGTTGCCTCACCTTAGTTACCTTTCCTTGAGAGGAACAGAGATTTCAAAGCTTCCATCTTCTTTGCAAAAACTTTGTTACCTAGAGACACTAGACATTGAAGACACAAAGGTGACAAAGCTCCCTCATGGAATTTTTAAACTTGAGAAGCTGCGTTATCTTCTTGCTGGAGTGAACTTCTCAAAAGATCTATTGCAAAAGCTGGTGCAACCAGAGATGAATAACAAAAACACAAACCTGTTGGGAAACATGGCACCTTTTCTATGCTGCAATAGAATGGATTATTGCAATATTTCCAACATGGACCAACTCAGTGTAAGGGCTCCTGAAGGTATCGAGAAGCTAAGGGACTTGCATATGTTTGGTGCATTCAATGTTGGCCAGGGCAATGGTGTAGGAGGGAGGCTCGGGAAGCTGACTAACCTGCAAAGGTTAGGGGTCACAGTCATAGGTCTCACTGAGGAAGAAGGCCAGGGGTTGTGCCAGTCAATAGAAAAGCTTGGTCGACTGCAGCGACTTGAGGTGCGATCTCATTCTCTTGAGTTTCTTGCAAAAATGGATGAATCATCAACACCGAAGCATCTAGCTTCACTCAAGCTGTTAGGCAATCTATTCATATTGCCCAAATGGATTACGTCGCTCAATGATCTGGCCACGGTGAAGATGCTAGGAACAAAACTACAACAGGGACAAGTTGATATCCTCGGAAACTTGCGCAGTCTCGCTGCCCTTTGGTTGTGGGAGAGATCCTACACAGGGGAGTCATTGTGTTTCAGTGCTGGTAAGTTTCCAAAGCTCAAGTTCCTTGATATTGATTGGCTAGAGAATATTGAAACTATGGAATTCAAGGATGGTGCAATGCCTGAGCTTGAGCGTCTTTGGTTGAACAACTGCAAAGCACTATCTGACAATGGTGAGGGCTTGTCCGGGGTGCCGTATTTGCCAAACTTGAATGAGCTTCTTGTGAAGAAATGTGGCGAGAAGGAGAAATTGATGGAGATACTGCAATGGCAGGTTAGTGAACATAGGAGGCGCCCTAAGTTCCTAATTGGCAAGTCCATTTTACCTACAGCCTCAAAGCCAAGCACAAGTGCATCAGTTGTACAGTGAGGATCGAAGGCCTTTCAACAATATTTTTTTTGTTTGTGCATGTCAATTATGTAAGCTCCTTATGTTTTTCATTTTAACTTGGTTGCAACTCTAAGAATATTTTCCTGGAAGCTTGAGAAAATGAAGTGTAATATTTCTCTGTTCGAATCTACTTATTTAGTTCGACAACAATATGGGTGGACAAGATATTGACACACTCTTTATGAAAACCTAGAATAAAGAGAGGGTGAATGCATGTTATATTGCCTTGTGAAATTCAAGTTCAATTTTTTTTTGAAAAATAGAAATGGTAATGTGGAGGTTTGCATGTGCTTGATGATAAGGATGGCTTGCATGTGATGGAATGTGAAAAGTAGAAAGTTTGCCTGCACTTGATGATGTGGATGACTTCAGGTGCATTTAAGCAAGTGATCTCATTCTGACGATATTCGTTCGATGGGGGAGCATTCTTGTCGACTAGGAGGCGCATGTGATGATTTTGTCAATCTCAAGATGTTATGTTGGTTGAGTATCCCAAAGGTACTCATAGAATAGAATGTGCATGCTTATGTTCATAGGGATGAGTGTATGCACTGACAGAGCTCTTCTTGGCCAAGGTAGGGTGCCGCCCTACCTTGATGGCGTATACATGTTTATATGGGTGGAAGCTCATGTTCGACGCCTTAAGCGTTGAACAATTCCTGGCGCTCAGGCGCCCCTCCGTCGGGAGCTAGCCAGCCTAATATGAACAATTCCTGGCGCTCAGGCGCCCCTCCGTCGGGAGCCAGCCTAATATGAAGATGAGGGCTCGTTCACGATTGACTATACACTTTTCAAGAAAATGTGAAAATTTTAATAATAATCCAAAATAAAAATTTCCCACATTAAAAAGTACGCGTTAAAAAAAGTTCACGAATTTCAAACAAGTTCATGAACCCCAAAAAGTTCATGAGCTCAACAAAACTTGTGGGATTCAAAAGATTCACGAACTCAAAAAAGTTCACAAATTGTAAAAAATCATGAGATTTGAAAAAGAGTTCCTGAAGTTGAGAAAGTTCACGAGTTCAAATAAAGTTCACTGCATGGGGTTTGGAAAAAAATACGCATTTGGAAAAGTTCACAGATTTAAAAAAATCACAAAAACAAAAAATGTAAAGGAAAAAAATGAATAGGAAACCAGGATAAATGGATGGAAGCTTGTAGAAGCTTCCCCAAACCGCCTGGAAGCTTCTAGAAGCTTCTCACAACTGGCTGAGACTCTACTGAAAAAATAAATAGTGTCACATATGTGGGACGCCCTGATTCACGTGCAAAAAGTGTGCATGCCTGCTACGTCTTGAGCTTCCGTTGGTTTCCCCCGAAGAGGAAGGGATGATGCAACAGAGTAGCGTAAGTATTTCCCTCAATTTTTTAGAACCAAGGTATCAATCCAGTAGGAGGCCACGCTCAAGTCCCTCGTACCTGCACAAAACGATAACCATTTGCAACCAACGCGATTAGGGGTTGTCAATCCCTTCACGGTCACTTACGAGAGTGAGATCTGATAGATATAATATTTTTGGTATTTTTGGTATAAAGATGCGAAGTAAAAAGTAAAAACAAAGTAATAAGCAAAGCAAAATTAAAGTGATGGAGATTGATATGATGAGAATAGACCCGGGGGCCATAGGTTTCACTAGTGGCTTCTCTCAAGAGCATAAGTATTCTACGGTGGGTGAACAAATTACTGTTGAGCAATTGACAGAATTGAGCCTAGTTATGAGAATATCTAGGCATGATCATGTATATAGGCATCACGTCCGTGACAAGTAGATCGAAACGATTATGCATCTACTACTATTACTCCACTCATCGACCGCTATCTAGCATGCATCTAGAGTATTAAGTTAAAAACATAGTAACGCCTTAAGCAAGATGACATGATGTAGAGAGATAAATTCATGCAATATGAAATAAACCTCATCTTGTTATCCTCGATGGCAACGATGCAGTACGTGCCTTGCTGCCCCTTCCGTTACTGGGTAAGGACACCGCAAGATCGAACCCAAAGCTAAGCACTTCTCCCATGGCAAGAACTACCAATCTAGTTGGCCAAACCAAACGGATAATTCGAAGAGACTTGCAAAGATAACCAATCATACATAAAAGAATTCAGAGAAGATTCAAATATTATTCATAGATAGACTTGATCATAAACCCACAATTCATCGGTCTCAACAAACACACCGCAAAAAGAAGATTACATCAAATAGATCTCCACAAGAGAGGGGGAGAACTTTGTATTGAGATTCAAAGAGAAAGAAGAAGCCATCTAGCTACTAACTATGGACCCGAAGGTCTGAGGTAAACTACACACACTTCATCGGAGAGGCTATGATGATGTAGAAGCCCTCCGTGATGACGGCCCTCTTCCGGCGAAGCTCCGGAACAGGCCCCAAGATGGGATCTCGTGGATACAGAAAGTTGTGGCGGTGGAATTAGGTTTTTGGCTCCTGTTCTAATCGTTTGGGGGTACGTCACCAGTAGAAAACGGAGCTTTAAAACCGGTTTGTAAGGGCCTTTAGTGCCGGTTATGGAACCGACACTAAAGTGTGGTCACTAAAGGCCCCCTCCCTTTTAGTACCGGTTCGGCACGAACCGGCACTAAAGTGCCACCACGTGGCGTGAACTCATGCCCTGGTATGGGGGACCTTTAGTACCGGTTGGTGTTACCAACCGGTACTAAATGTTTTTCTTTGAATTTTTTTTTAAAATTTTGGAAATTTTTTTTGATTTTTTTCGATTTTTAATTTTTCTGAATTATTTGATGATTTAGTCTCTAATCACCTCTCTTAACTGCTCAAGTGTGGATCAGTCATTCCAAATCATCTAACTTCCCGACCGGTCACCCATCCCTCTCACTACTCCACCCCGAGCACGCTTAACTTTCGGGTTCTATTCTCCTGCGTTTCCAAGTCTGCACTTGTTGTTTTCCTGACAATAATAAGATGTTAATCCTATTAACCCTCAGGAGTTTAGCTTGAGCATGAAGTCACACATTTCACCATTTGAGTTTGAAACTATTATTCTAAAAAACAGTAATTATTTAGTAACGCTAATATTTTTTGAACAAGTTTGACCATAGTTTGACCACAGTTTGACCATAGTTTGACCAGATTTGACCAAAATTCAAAAAATTGAAATAATTATTTAGTAACACTAATATTCTTAAATAATTATGTAGTAACATTAATACTTCTTGAATAAGTAGTTCGACCAGATTTAACCAATTTTTTTAAAAAAAACTGAAATTTGACCATATCTTTTTTTCCTTTTGGAATTTGAGGATTCTAAAAAATTCCAAATAGGCCGTAGGCGGTCTCCATCGGATGCGGATTTTCATGCTGAATTTTTTGATATATTATACGTTTTTTTCTGACATCGTATGCAAAAGTTATAGCTGTTTTACATTTTCCCCTACACTTTTTGCAAAACATGTCCAAATTTATGTTTTCAAATTTTCCTAACTAGTAGATGTAGTAATATAACTACCTCTCGAAGGATTTTATTTTTTGAAGTTTTTATCATTTTCTTTTGATTTTTTCAAAACTGAAATGGCGATACACGGGGGGGGGGGGTAGAGTTTGAAAATTGCCCTATAGTGCCGGTTTGTGTCTTCAACCGGGACTATAGGTTAAGACTCTGTAGTGCCGGTTGGTGACGCAAACCGGTACTATAGGTTAGATCTTTAGTACCGGTTTGTGTCACAAACCGTCACTAAAGGGGCTCGTGGGGCCCTGGCCTGACGCCAGCCTGCCACCACCTCTTTAGTACCGGTTCATGGAACGAACCGGTACTAAAGGTTCATTACGAACCGTCACTAATGCATAGCCATTCGAACCGGCACTGTTGATCACATTAGTGCCAAAAAACCGGCACTAATGTGCTTCACGTTTGACCCTTTTTCTACTAGTGCGTGTGTATATATAGGAGGAAGAAGTACGCCGGAGGAGCAACGAGGGGCCCATGAGGCAGGGGCGCGCGCCCTAGGGGGGGTGATAACCCACAAGTATAGGGGATCAATTGTAGCCTCTTTCGATAAGTAAGAGTGTCGAATCCAACGAGGAGCTAAAGGTAGAACAAATATCCCCTCAAGTTCTATTGACCACCGATACAACTCTATGCACGCTTGACGTTCGCTTTACCGGAAACAAGTATGAAACTAGAAGTACTTTGTAGGTGTTTTTGGGTAAGCTTGCAAGAAAGTAAAGAACACAAAAATAAAAGCTAGGGGCTATTTAGATCAAGACACAACTAAATTAGTTTTAGTAAAGAGCTTTTGTCAACAAGAAAGTTATTTGTCCCTAGGCAATCGACAACTAGTCCGGTAATCACTATTGCAATTTTATTTGAGGGAGAGGCATAAGCTAACATACTTTCTCTACTTGGACCATATGCACTTATGATTGAAAGAAAGTTCATCCCTACAAAATCATATAGTTTAGTCATGCTCCATTTTTGTCACACAAGAATGCTCTCATCATGCACAACCCCGATGACAAGCCAAGCAATTGTTTCATACCTTAATAATTTCAAACTCATAAACTTTGATGCAATACATGAGCGCGAGCCATGGATATAGCACTATGGGTGGAATAGAATATAATGATGAGGGTTGTGTGGAGAAGACAAAAAAGGAGAAAGTCTCACATCAACGAGGCTAATCAATGGGCTAGGAAGATGCCCATCGATTGATGTTAATGCGAGGAGTAGGGATTGCCATGCAACGGATGCACTAGAGCTATAAATGTATGAAAGCTCAACAAAAGAAACTAAGTGGGTGTGCATCCAACTTGCTTGCTCATGAAGACCTAGGGCACTTGAGGAGGCCCATTGTTGGAATATACAAGCCAAGTTCTATAATGAAAATTCCCACTAGTATATGAAAGTGATAACTCAAGAGACTCTCTATATGAAGAACATGGTGCTACTTTGAAGCACAAGTGTGGAAAAAGGATAGTAGCACTGCCCCTTCTCTCTTT